CACTGGAGCGAGCTCTGGGGCTGGAGCCGGCACCGGAGCGAGCTCTGGGGCTTCATCAATGCATGGCGGGCTTGACACATTAACGTCTTTCGGGCTTGCCACATTAGCGTCCTTCGGGTTTGCCACATTAGCGTCCTTTTGGCTTGCCACATTAGCGTCCTTTTGGCTTGCCACATTAGCGTCCTTTTGGCTTGCCACATTAGCGTCCTTCGGGCTTGCCAGATTAGCGTCCTTCTGTCTTGCCACATTAGCGTCCTTTCGGCTTGCCACATTAACTGCCAGCTGACTGGACTCAGGAACGGCCGGCTTTCTTGACTCGGGAACTGCCGGCGGAGGGGTTCCGGATCGGAATCGGAGACTCTCAAGACACCGGATGACTGTCTCCTTCCAGTCGAGGTCGGTGGTGTCTGGGAGCTCCGTGGGATGATGGAATGTCATTCCGGAATTTATTAATCTTCACGGGGAATCACACGTAGCACTGTAGACACAAACACTACCAGACCCTGGAGCACACACAGGGAACACTATTTATACACACAGGAGGAGGGGATGACGTGACACACCTGGGAGCAATGAAACATCATGGGAAACACCTGGGACAAATTAAACATGGGAAAGGAAGGCACATGAGGAAAACAACCACAAAACACGGAACAGAGTCTGACAATTACGAACAATAAAGCTTGTTTTACCATCAGCTATCAGTTTAGTTCCATTTCCAACGATTAGCTTTCCACATGTGACCACACTGCAAAAGTAAGTTTCATCACTGGAGAGGCTTTTGGGGACTTGGTGCACACAGCTCTGTACAGATGATCCAGTCACAGAGATCTTCTCACACTGATCTTTTCTGTCTCCATCAGTGTAAGTGAATCCTGAATGGGACTCTCTTGGTTTGTATCTAAGCCAGTATCTTTGTACCCTCTGCCCTCCTGAGCAACTCTCACCAAAGATTGAACAATGAAGAGTCACTGAGTCTCCCACATGATGTGAGTCCAAAACGTGATGCTGAATTACTTTAATTGGCTTTGCATCTATAATGAAAAATAATATAATATTAGTACTGGCAGCAATAACAATAAAAACAAAGTTTTAAATCAAAATTAAAAGTCACAGATCTCACATTCCAGGCTTCTCACTCACCGTTAACCGTCAGGTAAGTTCCCCCTCCAAAGTACAGCTTCTCATAAAGTAACACACCACAATGGTAAAAGGCGGCATCTCTGGAGGTAATCTTGGTGAATATTAAAGGCACAATATGTAAAAAAAATTTATTAAAATATCCAAAAACCACTAGAACAGTGTTATATATTTTGCTGACTTGTGTACTTACATTATCCCAAATGTTTCGAAGAATGTTTAAATCCAGAGAAATAAGCAATTTTAACTAGTGAAACGGACCGTGTCCATAGTGTCATTGTGTCGCCTGCCAATGAAGTCATAACCCCTCGATTTCTGGTTTTGTTTTTTAGAAAACACAGAAACACCAAAGACACTTTAATATGTTATGCGTTTTATTAGACAGGTGACGACCACACAGAGTAGCATTATAACAGAACTTTCAAATGTATCTAGTATGATAAAACAGCGCTGCTTTACCACACATACTCACGACCGGAAGGAGCAGAAGCAGTCGCCTGTGGCATAATAAAATGCTTCACCCTGCTTCATTCTACTACGTTAATAAATCATTAGCTCATCCATTAACATGATTTCTGCCCCATCGGATTGCATCGGCTGTGGGGATGAAGACGACAACTCCCATGATTCCACACTCAGTCACGGCATCGTCAAACTACTCCTTTGTTTCTTTGTTTGTTTTGAATTCGCGCCCCTAGTGGCAAAAATTACATATTGTGCCTTTAATGCAGATTTCTTGTCATCGACTTTGAATTGAAGTCGAAATTCTGCTTGAAGTATTATTTCCTGGTAATATGTGGAAACTATAGGGTTTAACATTTGCCCTGGGATTTGTTTCAGCCAAAACCAGGCCACAACTGGATCAGCAGAGGTGTGGAATTCCAGGATGACCGAACCACCCACTAGTGCTGTGATTGAGACGTTTGGCTGAAAAACATTGGGGATCATAGATACACCTGAAATAAACAAAGAAAGTCCTGATGAGTCTTGGGAAGTCAATCATTTGGCATCATTTTTTGTTTGTATACATTCTCAAACCATACTAGAAAACATGATCATCAGCTCAAGGGCTGCTACAATTGAAGCAAAAAAAAGACCAAATACTAAGAAATTCATATGTGACCCTATTGTTGTGTGATTACTTCCACCTGTGTGTCATTAGCTTGTTAAGTCTGTGTGTATATAAGGTCTGTGCTTCAGTTGTGGTTTGTCGGTCGTTGCTTCTGGTTTACACTCTCACCTTCTCCGTGTGGATTATGTTCCTGACTCCTCTATGTGGATTGTACCCTGGTTCGTGGATTGGATAATTTGTTTTTTTGTGTTTAATAAACCCCTGTGCTTGCATTTGGATTCTCGCTCCTCCTTGTCCTGGCTTACATGTTACAGAATGACCGACCAACTATGAATCCAGCAGCACAAATTATATGTCTCCATCAAGGAGATCGGCCTATCGAGGACTACGTGATGGACTTTGTTGATCTAGCACATTTGACTGGCATGGACAAGGTATGCTTGATGATATTTTTTCATGGTGGCCTATCTGAGCCGCTCAGCTCACTCATGCCTTTGCATGATCCTCACTGGACTCTGGAATTTTACATTGATCTGGCACTCCAACTGAGCGGCTCTGCATATACTGTGGGTGTTGTGGATGAGGAACACGGCACTCCTGCAGTATCTGCCACTCCTGAGCCTCGTCCCATCATGGCCGCCTGTCCAGAGTCTCTTCCCAAGGTGGCCGCGTGCCAGAGTCTCGTCCCGTCATGGCCGCCATGCCAAAGTCCCCAGCTGTCATGGTCATTACGCCAGAACCTCCAACCATCAAGGGTGGTACGCCAGAGTCTTCAGCCATCATGGTATTGCCAGTATTCCCGGTCGTCATGAATGTTGCGAATGAAGTCATTAAGGTGGGCCCTAGGTGTTTGAGACTGTCTTCTAGTTTGGAGGACACTCCACTGACGTCAGTGCGAGCAGCTGGCATCTCTACGGTAATGTCAAGCCTGGGGTTCTCCAAGGTGGTCCCGCTGTCTTATTCAATTCAATTCAAGTTTATTTGTACAGCGCTTTTCACGATACAAATCATTGCAAAGCAACTTTACTGCAAATTAAGTTTCTACAATATTTAGTGGTAGCTTATCAGTGGTGACTGTCAGTTAATGTACATATGGCAGAAATTTACGGAAAAATCAATTAAAGACGTAATCAAACAGATGATGCTATTAACAGCAATTATTATATGATGCAATCAAACTTATAGCAAAATGTGGTAGGTCCTCTGAGGGTTTGGAATGGCTATTGTGTGTGTTTGGGCTACACACTGCTCTGCTACTTCTCCAGAGCTCGTTCCAGTCTATGAGCCAGATCCAGAGCCCACTCCAGTCCTTGAATCCGCTCCAGAGCCTGCTCCAGACTACGAGTCTGCTCCAGCTTCTCCCGAGGTGGCAGCTTATGCTGCAGAACCTCCCAAGGCTGCAGTGTCAGCTTCAGCTCCTCTCATGGCAGTAGTGCCAACTTCAGAACCCTCTGTCTACCATATCACTGCCAAGGAGACTGTTTATGAACTCTCTGCCTGTCCTGTCACGGCTATGGAGGCCATATGTGAACTCTTTGCCTGTTCGGTCAAGGCTACGGAGGCCATTTATTAACTTTTATCCTGCTCTGAACCGGCCGAGGAGGCCTTCTCTGAACTCTCGCTGTGTTCTGAAACAGCCTTGGTGGCTGATTGTGAATAGTCTGTCCGTCTCGTCTCAATTAAGGTGGCTGATTTCAGTTCCTCCGAGGTCTCAGCCCTGGTTTCCTCATCCATCTGCTCCGCTCTGGTGGTCTTCTGCTTCGCTCTGGTGGTCTTCTACTTCGCCTGCTTCACCGTGGTGGTCTTCTGCTCTGTTCTGGTGGTCTTCTGCTCCGCCTTTGTTTTTGCTTGTTTTGTTTATTAAAGATGAACCTCATCTTCATTTCATTACGCTTGTCTATAGTCTCGTATTTCAAGTGTGCAACACTGCTCACATAATCCTGTTGGATGATTATTTATTCATTTTAAAGTTTTATTCAACATGTGACCAACCCATAATCTTGATAAAATGTTGATATCCTCACTACTCCTACTTCTCGCTGTATTTTATAAAGATGACATCCTGTGTTTCCCGTATCCCATTTTTGTTGCCACTCCTTAACGATATATGCTTTAATTATTGCTTTTGCTTCAAATTTGATGTTCGATTTCTGAACAAATTGTTATTTGAGCCTGTTCATAGGAAGTAACCGAACTGAATTGAACTTTAGTTCCAGGCTGATGACGCAAGACGCTCAGCCAAAGTTTGCTGACCGTCGAAGTGTTGAAGTTTGCCGAGGATTACCGTTGATGCTTATAAAGTCGTTTATGATCCTTTGCAAGCCTGAGGCACATACTGGAAATATGCTTATATAGCTTACTAATGTTATTAAATAACATTTTATTAAAACCTGCAAAATCCTTTCTGTAGAGAGATCTAAATTAATACTATAGTTTATTGTATATGCAGATTATATTTGAAGTTGTTACACAAAATCAAGCAGTTTATAAGGTTTATCTCTCTATATACTTTAGACATGTAGAACATGTCTGCATTTCTGCATCAGTGGATGTAATGTGTGCTGTAGGTGCGAAACTTTTAGTAATCCTAACCGAGATGTAGATGATCTTATCCCCGGTGACCGATATTTGAACTGCCTTCTCTCAACCTGCTCAAAATTTGTAACTCACAATGAGCTCACATATTACTCACACAGTGAGGATCACAGTACGAGGATAGTTTGAACTCACAATGAGCTCACATACTACTCACACCGTGAGGATCACAGTATATGAGGATTGTGTGATGTCACTGTGATCATCGCATGATCTCACGTGTTGACTGGGTCTTTTATGTCACACAGGTTTGGATGTTCTCTTTTAAATCACAGAATTTTCATTTTTGTGTGGACTATCCTTTTAATAAAGCTGAATATATTTAATAATGCGTATCATTTGTGCTGGCTATTGATTAGGCGAGGCAAGGCAAGTTTATTTATATAGCACATTTCATACACAATGGTAATTCAAAGTGCTTTACATAAAAGGAAGTAAAATAATCATTAAAAAATCACAACAATAAAACAGGGAACTTAAAAACTTTTTTATGATTTATAATGAATTTAAAACAGTTAAAAATAGAAAATGATTATACATAAATACATATATACATATACAGTGCAGTCAGTTCGGATGTAGCACAGTGCTCATTCAATAAATGCACAGCTAAACAGATGAGTTTTGAGTCTGCATTTAAATGTGGCTAATGTTTTAGCAGATCTGATCTCTTCTGGAAGCTTATTCCAGCTGCGGGCGGCATAATAGCTAAAAGCGGACTCCCCTTGTTTTGTGTGAACCATTGGTATTTCGAACTGACTCGATCCTAATTATCTGAGTGGTCTGTTAGGTTTACATTCAGTGAGCATATCTGCAATGTATTTAGGTCCTATGCCATTGAGTGATTTATAAAGAGTAAAAGTACTTTAAAATCAATCCTAAATGTAACTGGAAGCCAGTGTAAAGACATGAGAACTGGTGTGATATGCTCAGATTTTCTGGTTCTTGTCAGAATTCTGGCAGCAGGGTTCTGGATGAGCTGCAGCTGTCTAATGATCTTCTTGTGAAGGCCAGTGAGAAGACCATTACAATAGTCCACCCTGCTGCTGATAAAGGCATGAACAAGTTTCTCCAAGTCTTGACTGGAAACAAAACATCTAATTCTTGCAATGTTTTTGAGATGATAGTATGCTGATTTAGTTACTGCTTTGACATGACTACTGAAACTAAGATCTGTCTCCAGAATCACACCAAGATTCTTGACTTGATTTTTAGTTGTTTGACCTTATTGTGTATTTGTATTACCTTTTATGTTATTTACTCAATATGGTATTATCTTACTTAAAATATTATGTATAATCATGAAAGTAATCAATATACTAATCAATATGCTGAATTATTCCCAATACTGGATGTCTTAATGAGGATTGTATGTATGAGGGCCTTTCCATTGGGCAGTACCGGTGGTTTCCATTGGATTGTACCAGTGAACTTAAATAACCCAATGAACTCTGGGTGATTTCCAGAAGGTGACAGGAACAAGTAAACAGATTTGATATTGGTCTATAGTTGCTCAATATGGTGCTATCAAGATTGCTTTTTTTAGAAGGGGCTTAACAACTGCAGTTTTCAGGGATTTTGGAAATGTCCCAGAAAGAAGTGAGGCGTTCACCACTTCTAAGAGATCTGCTTCTAAATAGTTAAGCACAATTTTGAAAAAAGATGTGGGAAGTGTGTCGAGGTAACAGGTTGACGATTTAAGGTGCTGTACTATTTCTTCCAAAACTTTGCTTTTTTTTAAGGTGTCGTTGTTACACATATTACATGTACTTACTATTATAATAACAATTAATTATGCATAATTACATGCAAGCAACCTGTTAACTGTCGGTTCCACTTTTTGAGCATAGACCTGAAAATAACATTTCCAACTTAAATTGTTATACATATTAATGCTTTGGATCACAGACTTAAGGTTGGTCTCTTTTTAAAGAAGACACATGGCTGATTATTGTAGAAGTTATAAAAATTATATTACAAAAAAGTTATGGAAGTTTAAGTTTATGAAAAATTAAAAAATTTAAATATTTATATTTTATATAAAAGATATATTTTACAAAACATGCTTTACTCTAAAACTGCTAGAAAATTAAAAGCAAACATTTGAACAAGTTGTATTCCAAATTTGAGGTTGATATCTCAAAAAAATTAGCTTTCAGTGAGATTTTGTTTGGGCGTAGTACCAAGTTTTTCCACTAGATGACCATCAAACCCCATTAGTAACCATATAAGGGCGCCTGCATTTCCATATATGGTTTGAGTGACCTGAAACATGGTTTTCCATACTTTTCCCAATAATTATGACGTAGACATCACATTCAGAAGTATTAAGGGCAGTATTTGATTTCAATTTAACCTCTAAAAAACATAAAAGACATGCGACGAGAACCTTAGACCTACGTTACAGTTCATGCTGCATCAAAAATGGAGAATCTATTGGTTTTTTTCTTTATATTCAAAACACTTTTAGACCTTTTTTTCTCCAAAAATAGAATGGATGTTATCTTTTGAACACTTGAGGTTTTTACTGATTTTTCATGATTTCATATGTGCATCACTATTTCAAAGTAAAGACATCACACAACGTTTTCACCATTACGACTGTTTAATAGTTCTATAAACAGTTCAATAAGAAAATACAATAATATTAGGTCACTTACATTTTAGGCAGAACACAGCGCACCTCACAGCAAACAGCCGATTCATTGCTGATTGATTCTGTGTTTTGAACGAATCGGTTGAGTCAAAGTTTCATTAGCAACGCATAAACATCTGATGCATCTGCCGTTTGAACGAAACGTTTGAATGAACGACTCAATGACTCACTCATTAAACGCTCACTACTGGCAACTACTGGCATTTTAATTTTGTTGAAAAGTATGATTTCCACTAGGGCTGGCCGATATGGCCAAAATTTATATCACGATATATTTCTTAATGTCGGTCGATACGATATAATTCCGATATCGATATGAACACTATTCAGAAAGCCTCATAAAAACGGTCAAGAACGGCCACAACAGATGTCTGTACCTACAAACTTATGAAAAATGAATTTGCCAACTCTATGGAACCTACTCCTATAAAACTATATAATATTTTAGGAAAAAAATGGCGCAAATAAATAAATGTTCACCTTTTATTGGTATTTAGCCTTCATACAAACAAGAAATGTGAAATCACTGTCAAATAAATCTCAGACTCTCCTTATTAATATTAATATGTTTTACTTCAAACTATAGGCTAACATACCAGTCAAAAGTTTTTGAACAGTAAGATTTTTAATGTTTTTTAAAGTCTGAAATGAAAGTATTAATGAGATTAGTGGGAAAACACCCTCTATAAAGGTTACAAAAAAATGCCGTTGGATAAAATATAAAAAACACGCAGATTTATGTCACAGGTGATCGAAAACTGATGAGAATATTGCTTCAAAATAAATAATATTTACAAAAAACACACAGACACACACACACACACACACACATATATATATATATATATATATATACATAAGCTTGATACCATAGAGCCCTCCTCCCCCTTGTTTTCCTAAAGATGGCCATAAGAAATGACCAGTGGCGGCTCATCGGAGAATTTTAAGGTGAAAATGTGAGGAGGACGATTTAATGTTAATAAAATTCCCAATTCATTTCAGTTATTCAGCGCTGAGGAGTGTTGAGAAAAGAGACCTTGCAAGGGAGGCTAGCCTCCTTCTGATATCAACCAATCATCACAGAGACGTAAATTACCTGATATTAGTTTGAACGTCTGCCGCTGCGCTGATAATGTACCAAGTACTTATGATGAGTAGCGATATTGAATATTTGATCGCCAACAGATTTACCAAGCTGTCATTCAAACAGTATACATACAAATTTAGCGAAAACAGCCTACGCTAGATATATGCTAACGTTACAGCAGTCGGCTTAATTAAATGGCGCAACAAGCAGCTCTCTTTTAACACAGACTTTTAAGAAGGGATGGATGTTTGCTTCAAGTGATAGGCCAGGTAAGTGAAATTATATTATCTTGCTGTATGCATGTCCTTTTCTTTACGTTTTCTGACTAAAAGCAACCAAAAGGCCATTTTAAAGTGGTTAAGCAAATAATAATAATAATAATCGGCAGGGATCCCAGACCAATACAATTAGTGTGCCTCCTCTATTTTAAAACCCACGAGCCGCCACTGGAAATGACCACTAACCACATCAGCACCATACATAGTAATCGTAGATAAACCGGTCACAGCGGGACGGACATACATCCTGTGTATACATGTGAGTGACAGGTGCAATTTTTAAGTCATTGGTGTAACACTGCCTCTGAAATGCTTCATGACCACAGTGTTAATGCATCGGAAAAGTGAGAATGCAGAAGACCATTGCATATTGAGACCTCTTCTGCACTGCAAGTGTGAGTAGGTGTTTGTGGCAACCACAAATTAAACGCGTGACTATGTGGAACAAAACTATAAAATCTATTTAAAAATAGATGACTATATGTAACTTTAATGTAAGGTTAAATCTGCACCTATATTTTTATTATAAACAAGAGCACACCTGTAGAAAAGCATACCTACAGACACAAAGTTTTCATTTAGGTCATTTTATTGAGGAAATCAAACCCACTTGTGTTGATGGAGCCTTATTATGTCATTAAACATCTGCTGCTATAGCACTACAGCAGTTGTTTATATATAATAGTGTTAGCATAATACTATAAATATTAACTAATATAATTATACATCATTTGTGTATGTGTATTTATTAAAAACATTATTTGTTAAAAAATATTTGATTATTTAAATCTATATAATAAAATTAATTTAATAAAAACATGCTTCACATACATTTCTGTTAATTGTCACAATAATATTTATCTACTATAAAACAATGGTTTTAATTTTTTAAGCTTTAGCTCCCTCTTGAGGATTGATACGGTTAGTGATTAAAAATTAACCAACTATACAAATCACTTAACTGAGAAAGATTAACTAAAATTCATCTTATTTCCACACAGTCCTGAAAACCTATACAAACTCATCTGTTATTTGCCTTCTCTTTGCTAAAAATAAATCAGGATATGATTAAGACGTCTGGTACAGTTTGGTTTTACTGTATCAGTTTATTAGTAGTTATCACAATCCTTCCATCACAAAATGATCACATGATCTTTTTAATATACTGTAAATACATTTGTTTAATCCAGATTATTTCATATGAGAGTTTATTGACAACAAAGACAAAAACACCTTTAGAGGGCCAAACAAAAAGAACAAGGCTTTGGGCTTTCCTTTCTGTCCCCTCACAATGTGTACCAGTGAGATCGACTGAAGGGCCGTGTTCACACAGACACACAGGACAGATGCACAGCTCTGAAACTCTCTGTATTACCAGTTTTCATGCATTCTGGCATCTTGTTGTCATTCATGTTATTTACAGGTTCTGTCCTCTGGCTTTCCTCAGTAGCTGCTCTCGTGACCCGTTAAAATGTATAAATTGCTAGTGGCTGAAGGGATTTCAGTTGGGGTGCTTTGCAAAACAATGTCTCTGTAAACCAAGATTGGAGAAAAAAAAAGACATTACGAAGAATGAAATTCAATTTTTATTCAAGTTAAAAAGAAAACAATGAGAAGAGGTGGAAGAGAGTCAATACCTGTGCGTGCCTAAAACTTTGAACACTCGGCTTTCGTCTGTGATTTCCTGTGTTACCTACAAGGACACATGAGGATGACTATTTTTAAAATGAACATTTAAAATCAACAAATGATGACAATATTTACTGATACAGATTCAGACAGGTATATCAGGTTAGGTGCTATATTTCATTTTTGACAGAAATTAAAACGAGGCTGTGAGGGAAAGTCTTGCGATTTTTACAGCGACACACACTGTATAATGTTTCTACATTATGTAATTTTCACAAACTGTTTTATGGAATATATGTCTTTTGAAAGTTTTTTTCAGACAGACATTAATTTAATCTGTACTTCAATCCTTCACAGCTTCATTTTCATTCCTGTCAAAAATTAAATACAGCTCTACCCTGACTAAGGTCTATTAAAATGCACAAAACATCATAACTCTTTACCTCACAGCTGTGCAGACTAAGTCCTTCAAGCCCATGTTTCCAGAAAGCTAAAACACTTTCTTCTAAACAAACTGTTGAAAAACAGCACATGAAAACTTATGCCACTTGTATCATTTCATTGTGAACAGATACTATGTTTTCCTATCATGTCAGGTTTGTACCTAAAGTCTCGATAGGGAAGTCAAACTCCAGTTTGGATGCTAACTCCTTGCTGGGGACACCCTGCATATTGACAATCTTCACCGTTTCTAGAAGATGACAGTGAGGATTCATTTACAATATAAGTACCAGTGCGTGCTTTAGAAGTTGATTCATGTATTAATCATACATATAAATCATACATACTTTCCAGTGCAATTAAAACCGTGTCTCTGTCCAGCTGTGTCACTTGTACAGCTCTTACTGTCTCACTGTCTAAGGAAAGACACAAAGATCACACATTCACACACGCTTGAAATGCTTCAGCCCTGAATTCATGCAAGACCAGCAGCCAGTCAATCACTTACCTTGCAGAGGGTTTGGCGTGCCGTTCAGATGGATGATGTCAAACTTTAGCTGTCGTTCGTTTTGCTGTTGGAGGCTTTCCTGGACGCCCACACAGAGCTGAGGAAGCTCATCTGTCATTAACACCAGCAGCTCAAAGATGGGCAATGGGTCCGGCAGGGGCACCGCAATGTGCTTCAATGAGAAGACGATAAGAAAGGAGAAATGTGATGAGAGGACGACTACAAGTGTTAAGACTCTTATTAGTGAAAGCATAATAGAGTTTGTTTGGTAGCAATAAATCATTTACTTGTAAATAAAATTGCCAAATATTATTAATTGTAAATTCAACATCAACATAAAGTTATAAATGTTACATTATGCAAACAAGTCTATTAACCCTGTAAAGTTATAGGCATATGAAATAATAGTAAAAAATATATAAATATATTTGAAATGGCACAGTTTGTTGAACTTTTAGATAAAATCTTAAAAATTGCATATATGCATATATGTTTTTTTTTAGTATCATATTTGATACATCAGACTTTTTTGGCTCATATAGTGTGTTAAAGGAAAATATGGTGCTCATAATAAAGGAGGAAAAAAACACCAAATAGAGCAAAAATATGCAATTTGGTGCAGCTGCTGATATTTTTATGGCCAGAAAGTAAGATGACATTCTGATTGCTTTTAAAGTAAATCAATTAGATAATTTTAGCAGACTTCATATAAATATCAGTTGCCACTCTGTATCTCCCAATAATATATCTTAGATGATATTTAAATCACTTTTATTGTGGAGGGCAAAACATATAAGTGACGTGACATGTGACATGTGGCCAAGTATGGTGACCCGTACTTGGAATTAGTGCTCTGCATTTAACCCATCCAAAGTGCACAGTGCACACACACACACCCGGAGCAGTGGGCAGCCATTTTTTGCTGCAGCACCCAGGGAGCAGTTGGGGGTTCAGTGCCTTGCTCAAGGGCACCTCAGTCATGGTAATGAAGGTGGGAGAGAGCACTGTACATTCACTCCCCCCCACCTACAATCCCTGCTGGTACGAGACTCGAACCCGCTACCTTTGGGTTGCGAGTCCGACTCTCTAACCATTAGGCCACGACTTCCCCATCATATAATGCAATACAATGATGATTGAGAGATGGACAAGTACCTCAAAAGCCTACTGTATCATATTTGAAATTATTTTTTTATATATTCTTTCAAAAAATGGATAATCAGGTAAATCAAGGTTGCTTAAGTCCAGCAAGTGTTCATCTTGAAATACTATAACAAGTTTTTATAGCAAAAAGACATGTGAACCACAACCTGAAGGTGAAAAAGGCCTTTTACTTGCTAAAAAATATAGACCGTCAATCTGACGGCAGAAGACATGCATTTAGAGATAATGTATCATATATGATACAGTAAGTTTTATAGGGTTACTGTTACCTTGAGGTGCATGAACTTCTGCAGCGGTTCATACCACAATAGTAGCACAAGGCCAGAGGGAACTGCAGCGCATAAGAACGTGCTGTCTGTGTATGGGTTACGAGCTGATTAAGAAAAATCAAGAAAGCATGGCTTTTAGTATTTTTCCATCTTAACCAATAACAGAAGGTCAGCAAAGACATTCATCAGGATAAAATGAATAAGCATTGATCTATTATGATGAAGGAATTGACCCTCACCCACGCTGCACTTCCGACATCCCTTGGTGTCTGCAATCTTCACTGACACAGCAAACTTCCTGTGAAAATATTATTTTGAGTTCCAAATGAACAACATATAAGCTGAATTATTAAACTTGTATGTGTTTATGTGACCTGTGGATGATCCGTTCTGTGAAGCGGTTGGTGCCGAGGGACAAGTGACCCTGTTTCCTCTGCAAGTGCCCTCGCTGCTCAAACAGAGCTGTCAGTCTATGAGACCAGAGATGAGACGACTTACCTAAGAATAGAATAGAATAAAATAGAATAGAATTGATTTGAACAAAATAGAACAGCAGTTCACAGCCCACTGAGGTGTACATGTACAGTTTATTTATTTAGTATATGATTTCTAAAAATGGTTGGCTGTTATTGGTATCACAACATCAAATACTTCAACCATGTAACTATAACAAATGTTACGTACCAGAGATGGACATTAAGACATTGTTCATGACGTAAAGCCAAGTGCATCTCTGTGGAAGCAACTGCAATGGAGATTCAGGAGTGAAAAACATATTAGCCATTAAAAATAAGATGTTTCTCTCATGTTGTATTTTATGACAGAAACAGCTATTGGGTAAAAATACTAAATACCTTTTCTAAGGTGTCTTCATGCAGTTCATTTAAGTTAAGGATATAAACACCCTCCTCCGCACCCAGAATTAAATACTGATCTATGAGGACATGATTGATAAATCAAACAGAGTTCAATAATACTCTGATTCTGTATTACGTTTTTCAATCTATATTTAAATTACATTTTATTTTAATCACAATTCTGGATCAGTAAGATGAATGGAAATCTGTACCTCTTGTTTTGGGCAAAACCCATGTTTCTGCGCAGTGAATTGTCAGTGGACATCCATTAAATACTTTAGTAAAACAGGCTCCCATCTATGCAACATGAATTATACAATGTTTCACAAATATAGTACATCAGATGTAAGTTTTAAGATAAATTCTTAGGTTCATTCATAGATACTGGGCCCAAAGGTGCATTAATGATAAACTAGTCCTTAATTATATATTATTATGCATACTGTCACACTCATATTTAGTAATAGCCAGGTTTAACACTTTTAAAAGGTGTTATTAGGTGGTTAAACTTACATAGACTTGGGGAGTGGGAGGAAGTCCATGAGAATCGGCTCTCTATGAATTAAAGATTAAAAATACAAGGAACCAGATTCTATATGATCTTTAGTCAATTTTTAGTCTGTCAGTAATACTTTTAGTTACTCAAAAAACATACAAAATGTGTATTAGCATATATAATAGGTTTTTGAGATCTGTCCATGGTGCTGAAACATCTAGCATTACGCTAACAAAATAATGTGATAGATGTAATGAAATAACACCAAAATATTTGATCTAATAATGTTTCAACCAGTTAAATTAATTTAAAACTACTTAACCCCTTTGCTGTCACCCTCCATTTCCGGCATGGAGACACAAATGACATACCCAAAATAAAAAGGTTGCTGCTCATCAGACTTTCTGACTAGATACATAATCAACATATGTTCACAAAGCTGATACTTCAAAGTTTACTGTTCAAGAATCAGAATTACTCAGACTGTTATGATAATAGAGATATATAAGCTCAAACATAAAAACACAAATAAAAATATAAAAAAATAGTTTTTTAAATGTATAAAAAAATATGTTGCTGTGGTATATGCTTTTAGAAACACAATGAAGCTAAAGCCACAAGTCTACTAATGCTTCATTTCAAATTTCAGGACATAATCTCTAAAACTGAATTTTATGAAACATTTTCTAAGATCATGTCATGCGTGTTTTTAGAGAAGGCTAATAAAAGCCTAATAAAATAGATTTATGGCCCTCTAAGCTCTCCTGCGTGCTGCTTCCTCATGTCTGGCTCGGCAAACTGCTCCATTCATGATTCTATTGTTGTCACGCGACGAGCCTTTCACACCTCTGCCAGGTATGAAACAACAATAATCTGGGGCCGTTGCCAATCTTTGACAGCTAAGGGGTTAATAGTGGTTGACTAATGTAGGTTTTTCAATGACCAATTTAATGTTGATATATTTAGATATCTACCGATACATAAAAGACACAAAATCTGTACAAGGAATGCATGTGAATCAGTTCTTTGTATCTGACACTGTGATTGATAAAAGGACATTAATGTAGCTGAGATGTATTAAAGTGTGGGATACAAACACACATAAGTGTAAATCAGTTATATGTAACATCCAATATTGCGTAACTCACAGAGTCCTCTGTTTTCTTCCTCATGGTGCTCCACTCTGGAGAGAGAGCCGTGTCTCTGCTGAGAGTCCTTGTAAGAGTCCTCTGTTTGTCCTGTGTGTCATTATGATCAGGAACACAAGGGTCGCTGCACCAGTGCCGCACATCCTGACTGCCTGAACACCTCAACAACACTGACAAAAAGTTTTTTTGTCAGTGAAGAGAGAAATGTTTTAAAACTTTGTGTGGTGAATTTCCCATTGTCTTGTACTTTATGTTCAGATAGCAATACCTGATTTTGGACTTAATACAGTTTCAGGGCAAAGAGTAGCACTAGGTCGAAGCGTAAGGTTCTTGTCCTCCAGATCAGAGTCTAAAGAGCTCATGGGAGGAAGTGATGTTGTAGCAGAGACGGGTGGTGGGCTAAACAGTCCACTTTTCCTCTTACTCCACTATGAAACATCAGAAACCGTTTACAGCCTTACATATTTTTTCTATAATCATAAATTGATCATTAGGAAAGGTTCACAAATACCTCAAAACGTGAGAGTCTTTTTACTGTCAAACTCCTAAAAGAGAAAGAAAGTTCAATGGCAAAAAATGTTATCACACACGTGCAAATTATATTTCTGCAGTTGAGTTTTAAATTGTGCATAAAACAGGTACTAACCAATTGTAATTTAAATAATTATAAAAAATAAAAAAGGAAAGTAGAAAACCAATTTAGAGAGAGACTATGACTAGAAATACACACACACACACACATAATATCTACTAACAAAAAAATAATAATCAAGGCATAATTTCACTTTTTAGCTGACTCTTTTTTTTTTTTTTTGCAACAGATGTCACTCCACAAGATGGCGCCAGAATATAAGTTTGTCCCACCTCTGCTGTAACTCCTCCTCCACACTTTCCAAAAGACCCCTGCAGCAATTAATACATTTCAGATGAAAGGTTATAATACCTGTTTAGTCCGTAGTGCAATTATAAGTCCACTTAAATCAATCAGCAGTTCAGCACTCACGGTGACTCTGGTTCTTCTCCAGATAAGCTCCAATCATCACAAGATCCCTGAGAACATAAACATACTTGATTCTTTCTTTTTTTTTCAAGTGATAACCATGTATTATGACACAGAATATTTTATGAAGTGTAAAAGAATGTGGATTGTGTTTTGTTTGTCTCATTGGCTTATAGAGAACATCACAAAGAGAGAGCAATAAAACTGACCAGGTCAGGATAGTGTTCAGTCTCTTTCCGCCTGGGAGGGGTAAACTTGACCTGGTCAACTGAAACAAACAACAAACACATTTTACATATTACTACACTTACAGTCTTCATTTATGCATTTTTACCATTCAAAAGTTTGGGATTTGGTAATGTTTTTGAAAGAAGTCACTTATGCTCACCAAGGCTGCATTTATTTGATCAAAAATACAGTAAAAACAGTATTATTATAAAACGTAAAAATGTTTCCTATTTTAGTATATTTTATAATGTCATTTATTTCTGTGATTCTGTGATTTTTCAGCATCATTACTCCAGCCTTTAGAGTCACATGACCCTTCAGAAATCATTCTAATACTGTATGATGTGGTGCTTGTGAACCATTTCTTGTTATCAATTTTCTGCTGCCTTATATTTTTGTGGAAATTGTGATACATTATCTTGCAGAATTCTTTGATGAATAGAAAGTTCAAAAGAACAACATTTATTTGTACTAATTAAAGCATTGTTTGCAGAATACAAGTATTAATTTATTAAATAAAAAAAATCTTACTGACCCCTTTTGAATAGTAGTGTAAATATCCATAAATATGGACAATATTAATCCATATTCAGTAATCATGTTGTTCCGATTTTTTAACATGTTAGAATGTGATTTCTATGGTGTTCTTGTTGGTTGCATATATGTGAGATCTCCAAGAACTTCATATATGTACATAGTACATACAGTAGTTTGAACATCACTTCCTCGTCTGCCGTAAAGAAGCTTCATTGTCTGTCTGCCTGTGAATGCTGTAATCTTACAGTCAAGACGTGTGACAATGGATTCTCAGTAAAAGTGGCATCAACTTGCCACACGATAACACACATGCATCGCACTCTCCACTTGGCCTCGAATGTGAGCACTGGATCCAGTTCACGCGAGTGAGTGTGTGAGGGGGATGGATACGCACATGCCATAGACGTGTGCTAAACAGTACCAGCTCTAGGAGTTGTGTGTCTATTGACATCACTGAAGCTATGCTCAATAGCAGCCTTGTTAAAGCAGCACCTCCTCTGCTACACTTCCATACATTAAACTTTCTAATCATGCACGCGCTGCAATGAACATAGACACTGGAGTGACAGGGAACTTCAGAAAACGGATGAAAACATAATATAATCAAGAAACATTTAAAAAGATATGGCCAAAAAATGTGTTTGCTACTCATTTTTACAGATAATACATGATTGTGTATCAGAGGTTTTTAATTACTTATTCTGGTATAATGTAAAGTATAACAAATTATAATGTATAATTCTGGTATAATGTAAAGTATACAATTTAATGATAGCAAATAGGATGCATATAGTATTTCTGAATACAAAGACTTGTTTAATTAACTATTTACTCAAAATGTCTTTCCAAGAAAAGAAAAGAAAAGAAAAATAGAATATAGGATACAAAAATAGAATTTAGGCACACTTATCGGCTGATACGGACAATATAAAAATATCGAGGGGTGAGAACCAGACGGGCGTAAGTGAAATTTCACCAACTTTACAGGAGGGCCAAAACTACAATTTATTCCATGCATTACATTAATGAGTTTAAAAGAAATAACTATCTATTGTGATAAAATAAAATATCATATAAAAAGTCCTTATGTCAAATTAGTTAAATGAATGTGATTAATTTTACTAAAATAGTAATCCCAGCCACTTAACAAAATGGGCGACTGAAAAGCCTTTACAGATGCCTTCCCTATGAAAAATAAAAATGCAGAAATGTATTTGAAATACATTTATTTAATTCTAAGTGTACTACATACATTTACATATTATTTACATATTACTAAACTGGTATACTTAGAGTCTGCTAAATTAGAACAACTAATTTTGTGCTTAATGCACTTTAATTGTAAGAAAGTAGTTCTGAAGTCCAACTAAAGATACACTGAAGTATATTTGATTGTGCTAAAAGTTAGGTACACTTTAAATATCTTACATTTAAAGACCAATATTATTCAAAGATCATACAATCCTCACTAATAGTAACATTAAAACACAGTTTAGGCTTAATATTGAGAAATGTGCATTGTGCATTCCAAATAAAAGTTTAATTATTATTTTTTACGTATATTGGTAAGTTTTGTGACATGTCAGTAAATATACAATAAATAAAGCATATAAAATGTTAATAGATTTGAACTAGTATGAAATAAATATCTTTTAAATACAGTATATTTCTGTTTCACTAGGGTTTGTAATAAAAATTATGATAGCGAATGATACTGAAGTAATGAACTGCATAACTAATTATTATCAACAATAATAATAATCCCTTCTCTGCATTCTCTCTCTTGTGGCTAAGCAGTAACTGAGTGCCTATATGATGAAATATACCATTAGAATGTAAGTTATTGGTTACTACCTGCTAGCAAGCTACACCTCACTGACATTGAATTGCACGTGGTATCAGCCATTTTGACTCATGTGCTATCCACAGGCTTTACCCACAATACATTTCTCAATGTATTCTCAATGTATCTCAGTGGCGTAAGTGCAGTTACGCCCTTTTGGCACCAACTGGATTAGTAATTTCAGAGTTAAGTCTTTTGGTTTCTAATGAATAACTCCAAAATGATTAAGAATTCACTTGTGTCCTTTCGGCAGTAGAAAGAGCTCATCAAGAGCTTTCATTTGATACAGTATATATATCTCAATTTCACCCAAAATGTCACTTACGCCCTTCTGGTTCTCACCCCTCGATATATAAAGAATTAGGACTGAATAGTGTATATTGTAGTATGTTAATAGTATGTTAAATATAAATGGTTATGTGCAATTTCTATTGGAAATAAGGACAATGTTAACCAGAACTTACATTGTTCTTCTGATAAACTTCTCTCCACTGGCATATGTTTCCCTTTAGACTGGATTGTATCTGGGGCTGTATCGTTTGCCTTTTACACACACACACAAATATCGCCACTAAAAAAACTGTACACTTTGACATACTGAACTCTGACATGAATATTTGGAGAAAGCATTAAATGACTTTATAATTTAGGGAAATGTTTCCCAATAATCCTGAATCATGTGCCTCTCCTTAAAATGTTCTTTATTTATCCTTGTTTGGACAAATATTTTTTTGATGACATGCAGATATGAAAGTAAGTTGAAATAATTTTAGGTAAAGTAATTTTAAGTAAGTCATTTGAAAGCTTACGCATGCTTTTAAGAAATTCTGTCTTGCTTAATGATTTATGATGCAATTAAATTAACTTCCTAAACAGAAAAACTTTCAGAAGACCTTAGATCAGCTCGGATTAGACGGCATACTGAATTTAACACAGATGAAAACGAGGCTGTGAGGAATAGACTTACAGTCTTTACAAAGGCACACACTGTATAAAGGTCCTAGAGCATGTAATTTTCACAACTTGACTTTCAAAACTGTTTTATACAGTTTTCATCTACTAAATGTTTCTGCAGGAAAGATGCTTTGTCAGATGAAAAATATATTGTTAAACAACCGTACAATACATTCAAAATACTATACTTTTTTCCCTCACAGCCTCATTTTCATTCCTGTCAAAAATTAAATATGGCGCTATCCTGTATTCCTGTGTTCATGCCATGTCAAAATTACCATAATTATGTAAAAGTTGCAAAATAAGTTTTGCAAAAAACAAGTAATTTCTTAGCCTGAGTACACGAATAGCTCAGAGTAGAGTTGATATCTCATAATTACAGTAATTGCAATATAATGTGCATGTGTCTTATTCTCACCTCTTCATTCTCTTCAAGACTGGGTGGATGATGGAGGTCTGGATTACTTGCCATGTCCAGTAGCTCAATCATCAATTTTCTGGTGAGTAACTGTGTTACGAAAGGGTGCTGGGGAGAGAGACAATGGCAAAAATGATCAACTTTTCTAGAAATACAAAATGTATTAAAATTCAGTATTGTACATTTAATGTTCTCTTGTAGGGATGCTTCACTCAGGATTTATTCCACAAAACCAGAAAACCGCAAAAATCCAGATTTTATAATAGCTTTTACTTAGATCTGTTATATACATGAAATGCATCCTTTCTAACCATTATTTAAAAATAAATAAATACATAAAAACGTTTCCTTGTGCCTTAAAGCTTTAACATGTTTTATGACCACACAAGGAAAGTTATTATAGGGGTATGTGATATTCAGTAGCAATGCTAATATTAACTTTGATTTTTTAGTTTGATTAATCTGTCACCTGGAGAAGAGTTTCTGCTGTCGGCCTCTTGCGAGGACTTTTGATCAAACACATCTTCACAAAGCTATGAAACCCTGCAGACCTGCAAAGACAAGGACACAAACCTTTCACCAATCATGTCAGGTACTCACGGGAAAACTTGCACTTTTCTTTACTTTTTCCATTTCTAAGAGAAAAGTGATTTCTTTCTGTGGGGTTTTGAATCTTACCATTTGCTCTTGTCTTTTAGTTTGGGAGGCTGGAAGCTGCTCTTAGACATCAACATCAGAGCTCTACAACAGAAAATAAAACCTCACTTCAAAAATGCTTTGTTACAGGGTTTTCATTTTCTGTGAAATTAGTCATTCTGACCGCATGGGATGAAGGTCAAACATAGGTGGCTGTAGCTCTGCCAATTCAATGGCGGTGATGCCCACTGCCCAGATATCACACAGATGGTTATATCCACCCTTCTTTTCCACTGCTGCCACCTCAGGGGCCATCCTAACAAAACAAAGACACATTTCCTTTAGACACCACAGCCTGCTGTCAGTCTGATTGTCTTTCAGAATGATGCAAAGAGTAAAGGAGTGAATGGAAAAGGGGCATATGGAAATGTTTGGATCATGCATTCTTTTTATGTTGTTGTGCATTGTTTAAAACCTGTAAATATAATAAAATCACAGACACACACACACTACCATTCAAAGGTTTGGGGTCTTATGCTCACTGAGGCTGCATTTATTTGTATTTTGTAATTTAGTATTCAAAATACAGTAAAACAGTAATATTGTGAAATATTATTGCAATTTAAAATATCTGTTTTCTATTTTATTATATTTTAAAAAGTAATTTATTCCTGTGGTGGCAAAGCTGAATTTTCAGCATCATTACTTCAGTCTTCAGTGTCACAGGATCCTTCAGAAGTCATTCTAATATGCTGATTTGCTGCTTAAGAAACATTTCTTATTACTATCAATGTTAAAAAAGAATTGTGCAGCTTTTTTCTGTTATGTTTCTTTGATGAATCAAATGTTCAAAAGAAAAAATAACAGCATTTATTTGAAATAGACATTTTTTGTAACATTATAAATGACTTTACTGTCACTTTGGATCGATTAATGTATCTTGTATGTATCTGAATAAATGTACTCATTTCTTTCCAAAACAAAAAAACTAAAATCTTACCAAACCCACACTTTTGAACAGTGGGGTAGATATTCAGTTTATTAAGCAGATAGATTTAAATGTACAGTTCACCTAACAATTCTGTCATCATTTACACATCATTTGTTTTTCCCAAAAGCATTTGGGAAATGCAGCCCTGGTCATTTCTCCTTTTGTGTTTCATGAAAGTAAGAAAGTCATAAGGGTTTGGTAAATTAATCTATGGGTCAACTATTCCTTTGTACTAATCATAAGAGACAGTATGATAATTGCTTTACAAGACAATCCAGACAGTGTGATTCTGCAGGACTCAAGGGCAAATCTCTGTGCAGACGGCTCACCAGTAGGGAGTTCCTATGAAGGACTTCCTCTTGGCAACAGAAGCACTGATCTCAGCCGCAACCCCAAAATCAGCTACAGAGAGAGAAAGAAAGAGAGAGAGATACAATAATCCAAAATATGCAGCTTCAGATGTCTGTCTGACATAAAATCACTTACCCAGCTTAACATCTCCTTGATCAGCAAGAAGAATATTAGCTCCCTATATTAGAAGAGAAAATTCAGCTTTGTCATCACAAAAATCCATTTTAAAATATAATTTAAAAAAACAGTTATTTGAAATTGTAATAGTCTTTCGAAATATTGCTGCTTTTACTGGATTTTTAATCAATAAATGTAGTCTTGGGCACTAGAGACTTCTTCAAATACATTAAAAAAAATCCTAAAGACCCCAAACATTTAAACAGTATTGTCATGAAAAGCCTCATTCACCTTAATGTCTCTGTGTATTTTGCCTGTCTCATGGAGATGATTCAACCCCTGGATAAGACAAGAACAGAAATCTTCTCAAAATGTAGGGATGTGTCATTGAGAAAGATTTATGCCTCCAAAGATCTTTTTAAATAATTAATTAGCCTCACCTGGAGTGTTTCCCTGCAGATGTAAGCAATCTGTTTTTCCTTTAAAGGTCCAGTTACTGTGAAGGGCATATTATGTTAACTCTCACTTAACTGGGGCAGTGGTTAAACGCAGACATTAAACTCTCAAAGGAAAAAAAATCACCTCAAATATGTGAGATGGAATTGTTGTTAGGAACAGCCTGAAATGTATAGTGGTTTGTGGAAAATATTCCTCTCCTTTTATGCAGTTTTCCCATCCCAGATTAAAAAAGTAATAAAGTCATTTGAGTTTGGAACAATGTGAGGGTGATAAAGAATTTTCTTTTTGAGTGATCTATTACTTTAAGATGCTTAAAGGAATAGTTCACCAAAAATGAAAATCTGCATTAAATGTATTCACCCTCAGGCCATCCATGATGTATATGAGTTTGTTTTTTACTGAAACAGATTTGGATAAATTTAGCATTACATCTCACCGATGGATCCTCTGCAGTGAATGGATGCCATCATAATGAGACTCATATGCCATCTATGGACTTGTGGATTATTGTGATGTTTTTATCAGCTGTTAGAACTCTCATTCTGACGGCACCCATTCACTGCAGAGGACCCATCTGTGAGCAAGTAACTTAATGCTAAATTTCTCCTAATCTGTTCGGATGAAGAAACAAACTCCTCTACATGGATGGCCTGAGGGTAATTAAATTTTCAGCAAATTCCTTTAAAGGGATCATATGATGTTGCTAAAAAGAACATTAGTTTGTGTATTTGGTGTAATGAAATGTGTTTATGCAGTTTAAAGTAAAAAAAAAAACATTATTTTCCACATACTGTACATTATTGTTTCTCCTCTATGCCCGGCCTTTCTGAAACGCGTCGATTTTTACAAAACTCATCGGTCTGAAAAGCGAGGTGTGCTGTGATTGGCCAGCTATCCAGTGCGTTGTGATTTGCCGAATACCTCAAGTGTATGACGGAAATGTTACGCCCCTTACCATATTGTGATACCCTGTCCAGCCGGAGCGAAGAGACAAAAACATTAAAACCCATTATAAATGAGGCATTTGTTGCATCCAGTGGGGACATAATTACTGATTATAATGACTTATAGTGTCATTTTACGCATTGCGTATCGCGCCGCGTAAACATAAAACCATGTCTGCATTTGTTCAAAGTTGGAATTGCCCCACTTTATAGAAACAGCATTTGTGAACAGACATATTGTAGTCTACTCTACCAGGTTCAGGAAACAGTCCTCCATTAAATGCGCTGCACACATCTGAATATTGTGCTTTCATAACGAAACAAACAGCGTCTTCATGACATGGCGGCGGCGGCAACAACAAAACTACAGCGAGAATAAAAGTTACGCCTTCTTTCTTTGCGTGAACATTTGGGCAGCGTTATGCAAATCTTCCCACATAGTGACGTAGACATGTGGGGGCGTGTTAGAACGAGCCGTTTTAGGTAGGTGTGGCTGA